CCTTTTTCCCCTCTGTAATAGGTAGAGTCAACCACAAGAGCTGTTGTGAGGAATGATTTTAACTCTGAAATAAATTACAGTTACATCCCCGGGCTGTCCGGATTTCCCCTAATTAAGGGGGATAAAGCTAGAACTTCTAACCAAAACATGGCATGAGACTATCAACATCTAGACTGTCATTTCCCAATTTCCCATTAATGATCGCCAAAAAAGGATACGGACACACAAAAACAAACACAACTGCCAAACACTAAAGAAAAAGATCTTCACTGTTTAAAGATTTGGTAAGAAAAGATTAGGAAACACCACCCAGATTCGGTGGGGAGCTGGGCTACCCTGGTCCCATCGTTGGTCCTCACCTTTGGGCTGCGGGGCCACACAGACAAGGACCCTAAGCATCCACTGCCCTTAACAAGAGCAATCTTCTGAGCAAGGCAGTCATGACTGCTCCTGCTGCCTCCCTCCACCTGTGCCCCCCTCTCTCTAATTCCAAACAGAAATACCCAGTAAGAGGGCACGACAATAATTGGTTGCATTCAGAACAGCAAAATTTGGATAAAAAGTCTCCTGCAGGTGGAAGTAGATACTGACAGCACTTGAAACCCATGCATCCTCTAGTCTTTCACGTCACATAGTACGGCAAAATAAGTCAATTTTTTAAGCATAGACCAGGCCTCAGTGATCAAGAAGATTCCATCTGTATGAGCCATATTCCATGAAATCTTGAGAGACACCAGAAATTAACTTAGAGCCTGTATGCAACACACTGCATTCTGAGTTAAGCTTGACTTACTGCTAAGGTTGAGAACAGATTTTTCCTATGAATCAGCAGTTTTTCTCCTAGGTACACAGGGATGGAAATGTATGCACCTGTGTGTTGCAAACTATACACATTAATGTTTATTATAGGTTTATTTTCAATAGTCAAGACTGGAAACAGCCCAAATAGCCATTGTTAGTAGAAGGCATAAATAAGTCTCAATGTGCTTATACAGTAATAGAACATTGAAGAAAAATGAACTACAAATACATGAAAATTAGAGATGGATTTCACACTCGTAATATAACAGGGAAGAAGCCAGACACAAAAGTTTCTTCATTGTATATTTGCATTTACACAAAGGTGCTAAACAGACAGAACTAAAATATAGTGTGGGAAATAAAACTAAGGAAAAGCAAAAAAATATATATAAATAAATAAATATAAATAAATAAATAAATAAATAAATAAATAAATAAATAAATAAAACTAAGGAAAAGCAAGGCAGTACTTCCATGAACAATAGGATTATGATTACCTTGTGGGGAGCGGATGTGGAGGGCAGCTGAGAAAGGCTTCTGAAGGAGTTGGGAGGTTCTGTTGCTTGACCTAGGCAGTAGTTATATAGGTGTTGGTCTTACAATAAGTCATTGTTTTTGTTCTTTGGGTTTTGTTTTTTTTTTTGCAATAAGTCATTATTATGCATTTGTTTATTGCATGGTTTATTTTGTTGCAAATCATATTTCACAAGTATTTGTAAAGGCCCCCTGCTTTCCTTTGCTCTGATTCTGTATCCACACCAACATCCTTTGGGCACTTATCTATGTTTCTAGCTGGTTTTGTCCTAAGGAAGACGATTTTCTAAAAAAAGCAAAAGGAGTCATTTGGATAACTAGCAAACGAGACAAATCCCAAAGCAAATTAATACATTGCATGAGTATTTTACTTTTTTTTTTTTTTTGCATGAGAATAGATGACTTTTTTTCCATCCCAAAAGCTCAGGCTACACTGAGGTGCTCATTCGGTCATAACAATAATCTTACAATGTCGACAAATACAGTTATCCTCACTTAACAGCTGTGAGACCTGAAGCCAAGCAGTGAGATGGGGTGACGTGTCTGAGGACACAGTTGGTTGAAACCCCAGTCTGTCTGGTACAGACCTTGGGGCCGCAGCCGGTGCACCGACCTGCATCGTACTAACTCAGAAGGGTGTCCCCACGTAATGGGTCAGCAGTCACTCCCAGAGCAGTGCCCTGACAGGTAAAGTCACCAAGGAGACAGGACCCTTGGAGGCTACTGGCACCTGCTAATCAGTCTTCCTCTGGCACACCCTGGCATTCTTCAGCTCTGTAGCTCGGGCCTCTAAGCCTGGGATTATTAGGCAGCAGTGTAACTAAATATCTACAAGCACAGGTAGGCTGAAATCCCTGAAAAGTCTTCTGGGTCCTCTTATTTTTATCACTTAAGTTTCACACAGTATTTAGCATACACGTAGTGTTCAATAAGTGCTTGTTAGATTGAAAAGAGAATGGGATACTGGAAAAAAATACGCATGTCACTAACAAGCAGTTACTACCATAATTTTATTTGAAAAAATACCCTAAAAAAATGTGTTTTCATGCAAGGAGGCAGACTTCTATTGCTATTTTGCAAATAGGCTACAATCTTTGCAAAGGATTCTTTCTCAGCATGAGCCGTAGCGTGCATCCTGCCAAGATATTCTTTAGGAGGTTTTTTTAGCCAGTTTTTCTGAAAGTACCTGAGATTTATGGATTGTAGTGCGTTAAATAATTAAGTTGTTTTCAAACCTGTTAAAGGATAAGGTGCCTGATGGATGATCAGCATGCCAGCTCCTCTGAACAAAACTAGTTTTACTCTGTCTTCTGGGAGGGATAAACACAAAAATCGTCTCTAAATTAAATGCATCCTGTATTGTAATTGAAAAGCATTTCACTATTCCAGATAATTTAAGAGATGAGGCTTGATTTCATTTTCAAACAACTATTATTATATCAAAGAATTAAAGGAGTCGTTCTTTTGATGTCTAGATACAATGATACGTGTAACGCATTTCCTGCCCGTTCCGCTTTTTAAAGGTTTGAACACGGTTAACCAACACCTTGGTCAATGGTTGCCATATGTGTATTCAAATAAAATATAATACTCCTAACCTTAAAACTGTACAGAACTTATACAATGTTGTTGTTGTTGTTGTTGTTTTTGGTAAGATTTTATTTATTTTTTTAGAGAGGGAGACAGAGAGAGAGAGAGAGAGCACAGGGGCAGGGGCAGATGGAGAGGGAGACGCAGAATCTCAAGCCTGACTCTGGGCCTGATCTCGAGACCCTGAGATCATGACCTGACCCGAAATGAAGTCAGATGCTTGACCGACTGAGCCACCCAGGCACCCCTATTCAACATTTTTTAAACGTAATTCGGAAGAGATTTCCCAATTTTTCTGTGCTTCTCTATTACCATTTTGATTACTATCTCTCATTTTGTCTGGTAAAACTCATCGTCAGTAATTTAGAATTCATAGAATAATTAAATAATAAATTAGAATTCTAGTTAATATGGTTTGATTGTGAACACATTTGCTCAGAAACAAAAAAAGTCGATCTTTTTGGATAGTCAGGCGGCCCTGGTTTTTCTGGGAGAGTTGACCATTTGCTTTGCTTAGACTTAGAACAATGGGTCACAGTAACTGTCCAGGTTCCACTTTCGGTGCATGCTGCTTTTAAAATATGAAAAGCATGCAAAATCAATTAAACCTATCTGATTTTCTTCTATTTTTCCTACCAATCAATCATTTACTTCTAGGTCTTTGCACTGAAGGACTTTTGCCTTCACCTGGGGTTAAATACGTTATTAGTACCATACGACTTAGCTCCCTCTCATTAAGGGACTGGACTGGGTGATATACTTTAAGCAAAAGAAAATGCAAAAGAAGAATTGTCCATGAGCTTATTTTAATCCAATCCTTGTTTAAATTAGTATGGAAACGTCTGGAGGCAGTGGGTCATGGCACACCATGGCTATTGCAGTTCTGCTGCAATTAATTATCTTAACCTGCTATAATTTTGTCTTAAATATTGGAGGGGAGAGGATGAGAGGATGAGAAATGATAACACGATTTCTTCTTGGCCTTATATTCCTGAGGTCACAGGATTATGGATATTGCCTTCCCTTTGTTTCTTCCTCCCGCAAGGATGCCTACTATGTGTCTGATTCTGGGTTAGATGTCTGGAACACTCTGAGACAAAATAGTAAGAAAAAAAAACAAAAAAAAAACCTTACCTTGGTCCAGTTGTTATTCTGGTAGGATAAGACAGACAGTAAACAAAAGATAACAAATTGTTTAGTTATGGAACATGTTAGGAGTTAGTGCTAAGGGAAATAGACTGGGCTTGGAAGAGGTGGAACTTGAAGGGTCTCAGGAGACGAGTTACATGATGTCATTTATAATGTGGAGGATCACGCAGGTGCCTCAGCTCTCATGCCAGGTAAGTCTTGCAAGGCAGGGATTTGATGGAAAATTGGCCCGTGCATATTTAGAAAAAAAAATAGCTCAGGTGGATGAACAGAGCAAGGTGAGGACCTCAAAGCAATCTCAATGAGAAAGTGATTAGTCTTGATAAGTGAGCTGCTGTGGTCGGCTCGCAGTTTTACATCCCGTGAGCAAGTATTTCTTGGAGCGAGCAGCTCGGGAATTATTGTTTGGTTTAGGGTTGTTGAACACAGGTTTAGAAAATAGTATCTATTCTGAGTAGTATTCAAAATCGGAAACTATGGTGGTTTCAGTACTTATGTAAAGCTGTAGTAGTGTCCGTATTTCTGAAATGGGAGTTGTAAGTATTAAATAAGATCAGACATGTAAGGCACGTGTGTCTGAACCTGATGTCGGACAAATACTCATCGTATGCCACCTGATAATTATTTTTATAGGATGTCACTGTATAAAACATACGTATTTTGATGCCAGCCTCAGAGAACGAGGTTCTGGTATCAGATGGCCTAATTTCAAATTCTGGAACACCCCTTGATGGCTTGTCTCCTATTACAGATCGCAAAGTTTTCTTTAATCATCTTTACATATCTCATAACTGGAATAACTGGAATGTCAAAAAACACTTTTTTTTTTTTGCTGTCGAATTGCCAGTATCCAAACCAAGTGACTGAACCCAAAATGTGTGAGCTTGTTTAACCTACGCTATTAACGATCATTGCTTCATTTGCAGAATGACATGAATTACATAGCATCCAGTGGACTTCTATTCAAAGATGGCAAAAAGCGGATTGATTACATCCTGGTTTATAGAAAGTCAAATATACAATATGACAAAAGAAACACATTTGAAAAGAACCTCCGAGCAGAAGGCCTGATGTTGGAAAAGGAGGTAGGTGCTGCCCTAACATTAGTTACGTGACATGACATGCTCGAAGGGCTTCTGTTTTAGCATGGGAAGCGTGTATAGCTCATGTCTTTATAAAACGTGTAGTCATTTCCTAAATTTCCACATTTTCCTAAATGTGAAAGAAATATGTACAGACAGTCCCACTTAACTGTGTATTTCTTTCTTCTATATTTCCGTAAATTTAAATATTTTTCAAAGAGCATAACTATTTTTACGATTTTAAAAATTGAAGAAGTCATCATGCCTACATAAAGCACAAAACCTACGAAAAGAAAAATGCTGAAAGAAAAGGCTGCCAAGCCGTCAATGTCTGGTTTCAATATTGGACTGTGAAGGAGTTCCTTCTCAATCCTTTTTTTTTTTTAAATACTTTTATCATTTTTTTGAGACCTTATTTTTTGTTAAGGGCCATTTTAGGACCACAGCAAAACTGAGAGGAAGGCACAGAGATTTCCAATGCTGCTCCTGCCTCCTCACATTATCCCCTATTATCAACTCCTCTGGTGGTACATTTGTTACAACCGATGAACCTACATGGAATCATTATCATCGTCCAGAGTCCGGTAGCGTTCACTCTTGATGTTGTACATGACGTGGGTTTGGGCAAATGTATAATAATTTATCTACCCGACAGTATGCAAAGTATTTTCATTGCTCTAAAAATCCTCTGTGTCTTCCCTGTGCACGTCTCCGTGAACCTCAACTCCTGCCAACCGTGACCCTTGCGCTGTCTCCATAGTTTTTCTGGAATGTCGTGTAGTGGAATCATACAGTTTGTAGACTTTTCAGGCTTGGCATCTTTCACTGAGTGGTATGCACTTAAGGATCCTCCATGTCTTTTCATGGTTTTATAGGTCATTTCATTTTAGTGCTGAACACTGTGCCGTCATCTAGATGTACCGCAGTTTGTTTATTCATTCCCCTGCTGAAGGACATCTTGGTGGCCTCCAAGTTTTGACAGTTATGAATAAAGCTGCTTTAAACATCTGTGTGCAAGTTTTTGTGTGGACGTACATTTTCAGCTTATTTAGGTTAATACCATGGAGTGGTATTGTTGGATCCTATGGTAAGACTATGTTCATTTTTGTAAGAAACCTTCAAAATGTCCTCCCAAATGGCTATACCATTTTGTCTTTCCACAGCAATGAATGGAGAGATCCCATTGCTCCCATTCCTCACCAGCACTTGCTGCTTCCAGTATTCCAGATATTGACCATTCTAGTAGATGTATAGTGGTAGCTCTTTTTTTTAAATTTCCATTTTCTTGGTATATGATGTACAGCATCTTTTTGTATGCTTCTCTGCCATCTATATATCGTGTTTGGTGAGGTATCTGTTAAGGCCTTTGAGTTGTTTGCTCTCTTATTGTTGAGTTTTAAGAATTCTTTATACATTTTGAAATAGCAATTATTTATCGGATGCGTCTTTTGCAAATATTTTCTCTCAGCCTGTTGCTTGTTTTCTCATTTTTTTTTGACATTGTCTTCCACAGAGCAGAACTTTTTGATTTTAAACAAGTGCAGGTTATCAATTCTTTTCCATGGGCTATACTCTTGGTGTTATATTTTGAAAACTATCCCCATACCCAAGGTTATATAAGTTTTCTCTTATTTTATGTTTTAAGTTTTGCATTTTACATTTAGGTCATGATCCATTTTTTGCTAATTTTCATAAAGGATATAAGGTCTGTGTTTAGATTTATTTAGTTAGTTTGTGCATGTGGATGTCCAGTTGTTCCAGCACAAGGTGTTTACAGAGACATTTTTTTCTCCATCATTTGACCTTTAATCCTTTGCGAAAGATATGTTGGCTTTCATAAGTCAAGTTGATATTTATGTGGGTCTATTTCTAGGCTCACCATTCTGTTCCATGTATCTACTTGTCTATTTCTTCACTAACACCACTACTGTAGCTTCATAGTAAGTCTGAAAGTCAGGTAGTGCCAGTCCCATTTGTTCTTCGCCTTCAATATTGTGATGGCTCTTCTGGGTCTTTTTCTTCTCTGTAATCTTTATCAGTATCCACAAAATGACCTGTTGAATTTTTTTTTATATATTTATTTATGATAGTCACACACACACAGAGAGAGAGAGAGAGAGAGGCAGAGACACAGGCAGAGGGAGAAGCAGGCTCCATGCACCGGGAGCCCGATGTGGGATTCGATCCCGGGCCTCCAGGATCGCGCCCCGGGCCAAAGGCAGGCGCTAAACCGCTGCGCCACCCAGGGTTCCCGACCTGTTGAAATTTTGATTGGCATCACAATTTTGATTTGTATCGAAATTTTGATTGGCATTGTACATCTATAGATCAAGTTGAGAAGAACTGACATCTTGACAATATTGAGTCATCCTATCCATGAACATGAATTCTCTCTCCATTTATTTAGTTCTTCTTTGAGCTCATTAATAGAAATTTGTAGTTGTCCTTATATGGATCTTGTACATGTTTTCTTAGATTTATACCTAAGTAGTTAGATCTTTGTGGTATCTATTGTAAATGATATTATGTTTTTAATTACAAGTTCTACTCTCCATTGCTAAAAGAAAGCAATTAATTTCTGTATATTATCCTGTATCCTAAAAACCCTGCTTTCTGGTTTCTTAAGGTAGAATTTAGGTATTTGATTTTAAATCTTTCTTCACTTTTAATACATGAAATCAATGCTATAAATTTACCCCTAAGCACAGCTTTCACTGTACTTAAAGTTTAAATAGTTTAAATATGATAAATTGTATTTTCATTTTCACATAGAAAAATATTTTTTCCCCCTCTGGAGATTTCATCTTTGCCCCGTGTGACATGTGGAAGTGTGTTATTGAATCTACATCTATTTTGAAATTTTCCAGTTATCCTTCTGTTACAGATTTCCAGTTTAATTCCACTGTGGTCTGAGAGCAGACATTGTAAAATGATTTCTATTCTTTTAAATTGGCTAAGATGTGTTTTATGGCCCAGGATATAATCTATCTTGTGAATGGTCCATATGAGTTTGAGAAAAATGTGTATCGTGCTGTAAATGAAGTAATTTTTAGATGTCAGTTATATCTATTTGATCAATGGTGTTGTTGAGTTCAACTATTTCCTTACCAGTTTTCTGCCTGTTGGATCTGTCTATTTCTGAAAAAAGAATGTTGAAGTCTCCAACTGTGATAGTGTATTCATTTGTTTCTCCTTACAGTTCTATCAGTTTTTGCCCCACATAGTTTGACATTTCTATTAGATGCACACACATTAAAGATTGTTATGCCTTCTTGGAGAATTGGCTTCTTTATCATTCTGTGATGCCCTTCTTTATTCCTGGCTTTTCTTTTCTTGAATGTTTTTTTTTTTTAAGTGTTCTTTAAAGGATGTTTTTTTTTCCTAGTGGCAATAAAACTACCAATGCTCAGTAGAAAAATGGAATATAGAATGGAGTCCTTTTTTGTAGTCCTTTGATAAAGCATTTTTTGTAGTCCTTTGATAAAAAAAAAGTCTTGCTACTACTTTATTTTATTTTATTTTATTTTTTTGCTGCTATTTTAGTTAAACCTCCAAGGTCTTAAAAAGACACATATTAAACACATATTTATCACATTACAGAAAGAAAAAATCTTAATGTGAAAAATTAAAAATATAAAAATGTGCAAAATAAGAAGTAAAGTTTACATCTGCTATCTCCCAAATCATATCATTTTCTTTATTTATACCTCTGTTAATACCTTGATTTTATCCTGCTGGGTGCCCTTAAGGATATTTTCTATGTATATAAATATGTACACATTTTTTGGGAAATTAGTCATGTTATACATAGTGTTCTACTCAAATCTGTCATTTAACAATATATTATGAATATCCTAAATTACCATTATATTTAGATCCAGCTCATCTTTTTTACTAGATGAAAAGTTGAGAAAAGATGAGAGTTAGTTAGCCATTCCCTTATTCAGAGAAAAATGTTAAATTAAGTATTTTGAGAGGCTCCTAAATTACTACAAGTGGGATTCAACTACTTTTCTAAAAACTGAGATGGACAAGCTGAAAAAATGATTTCTTTGTTTAAATATCTAGTTTTCCAATAAATGTTATCAGTGGAATAGAGTGCTCATTGGCACTTAGATATGTCATTGGAGCCCCCTTCTTTTTCCCCACAGGATGGCTCCTGTGATTAGTCTTCTAAGAAACACAATTAGGGAATACTGAACTGTAATGTGAGGTGGCCCTAGAAAACTGATGTGTTTATATTTATTAATACTTTTTAAATATATATAAAATGACAGTACACTGCCTTGATTCTTTACAAGGTAAGGATTTATTCGCACCCTGCCTACTGTTATAGAATTGGGCAAGTTAAATTCTGATCTCAAATACTATTGACCTTTAATTGTGTTTCCTTTTTTATGTTTCTTCTGGGAATTTTAACCCAGAATATCCATATCACTGGACTAATTCAACCAATAAATATTACAAAAAGCTTATGAACTCGGTCTTGTGATAAGATTTTATTTCCCTATGATTTCTTCTCTATAGAAACAATTAATCATTTCCTCATCTGTTTCCAGAACAATTTATACATACATTCTATTATAATATTGGTAGTTATTTTGCTCACATATCTCCAATTATTAATTAATTCAGCAAATGATCTTAACAGGTACTATGCAACCTGTTGAGTAAAGTAGACCTCATCCCTGCCTTCATTGAACTTACACTACATATGAGTTAGTCTTTCATAATTTCAAACTGTGAAAAATGACCGAAAAGAAAAAAAAATGATGCTAGAATGACTTATATCAAGGGCAGTGATCTAGTCTGAAGGGTAAGGGAAGATGAGAGGAAGGGAAGAGGTGAATTTTTTTACGATTTTTTATTTATTTATTCATGAGAGACAGAGACACAGAGAGAGAGGCAGAGACACAGGCAGAGGGAGAAGCAGGCTCCATGCAGGGAGCCTGACGTGGGACTCGATCCCGGGTCTCCAGGATCACGCCCTGGGTCACTGAGCC